CTGCCACCCTGCTCCTCCTCGCTTGTTAAATGTGTGCCCGCACCCGGCCAGCGCGCACTTGAACACCTCGCGGAGCTACGTTTTAAATCTGGGGATGGGAATACAAAGGCCTGGAGGCTCGTCTCCGTGTTTGAGAATAGCATATTCGCTGTGGTCAGGATGGAAGCAGACATTCCTTACGTCCTGCACGGAGCTCAGGTCCTGCACCCGAGCGCTGTGCTGAATGGGCTACGGCACCCACAAACGCGCCTACAGGCTCAGGTATTGATACGGCACCTGGCTGCTCTTTTGTGCTGGTAGTTAATGTTTATTTTATTGCGAGGTAGTTCTTGTGGTATCTCAGCTTTGTTCCTTTTCATTGCGAGAGTTTGTATTATTTATATTTTTAAGTTAATATAAGAGCAAGGGAAATAAATACATATTTTCTTTATAGGAAGTCATGCGTCTTAAAAAACAGATTTTTACTTATATTAACGGTAGACAGTATCAGCTCTGGTTACAATGTATACTTCTACAGACTGCTCACATATCGGAGCTCTGGGTTGCCCTCTTGGTACCCCCAGTGGGAAATGTAGTACGGTTTTAATGATTTTAAGAAATACAGTGCTGGTTTAGGTTTGTAGTGGAACAATGTGCCAACCATGTTGTTTCTACAAGCCACAATAAGATAGGTTTTTAAAATGGGCCGGACTTTCTAATAACTCGGGAGCAGTTGAACAGCTGTAACTGATGTGCAATTGTAGGTGTTGCACTTTATGCAATTTGAATTCTTAAGTAGAAGAAATCACATTGTGGCTGCTAGAAGAAAAATAAATGCCAGAAATTATTCTTTTTTTTCCTATTTTATTATTTGATTGGCTTATGTGCTATATTGTCAGGTGGGGGAAAGGACTAGTCTAGTTGCAAGAACAGAAGAACATAAGTAGATGAGAACCTTTTTCTTGTGTATACCTACTAGCATGAGCAAAAGTCTTCACTTTCATATTGAAAAACAACTTCTGTCTGACTTGCTGAACACTCAGATATAAGTACTAGAAAGAAAGGTGAGAACTGTACTGAAGAGGAGACCTTTAGAATATGCCTTAAATCTTTTAAATGCTTGAAAAACAGTAAACTTTGGGTTGTCGGAAAAGAAAATGCAGAAGATAAGGCAATGACATTTTAACCAACTTATCTCCTATGGTATAAATAGACAGCATCTATGAATAGACTTGTTTTTATGACTTCTCTTTCAGTTTTAACCTGTGTCTCTGTATTTGAATGCTGGGCTACACTGGTAGGAAGGTTTTAAAGATGCTATGACTAAACCCGTGATCCTGGAAGTAAATGGTACAAGACTTGCTACAGTTTGGGGAATCCTGAGTGTCACTGCTAGCCACTCTTAACACCTCTCTACCTAGTGCAGAACTTGACTTTAACTTAACTTTCTGTTGTTGTCTTTGGTCTAACTGACCTACAAACATTTTGCATTTTAGAACTGTGAAATGATTAATAAATATGTAAAGTAGCTGAAGTGTATGAGTCCGTAGATTGTAGTTTGTGCTGTACCTAAATGCTTTTGATTAACTTACAGAATATTTGTACTTCACTTCTAAAAATCCTTTTCTTTGTTTATAGTATGTTTTAAGGTCATGTTATACTCCAGAAATGACATCAGAGTTCTGTTCTAGAGATTTTTGGTTTAAAATAGATGTAAATTAAATTTAGCAGGCGATGGAGTAGACTAAATTGTACAAAAACTTTTACCATACCTTCTCTTATACAGTTTGCATTCAATTTTACAACAGTTTATGTAATTTACTGGTGAAATCCAGATGACTCTTTAGAAAGAACATTCTGAATACATTTAAACACTTAAGTCTGCAGGTTGGGTACTTCTGGGGCTGGGGGTTTTTGTGTTTGTTTGGGTCTTTTTGAAGGAAGGAGTTGTGTTTGGATTCTGCAATGAAGCTAAAATAAAGGCAGCTGTCCATCCAGGTAGTATAGCCTACTCCAAATGTGTGTGTGAGCTGAGCAATATCTTGTATTACGGTTATCCTATATGACAGTCAGAATTGAAGTGATTAACATAGGCTTGCCATTGATTTTATTAGAAAGAAATATCTCAAGTTTATTTGAACTCTGACTACTGGAAGTAGTGCCAGCTATTTTGGAAAGCTGTTCAATGTCTAGTGATGATACATGGCATTGTCAGTGCTGTACCTAATCATATATAGAAAAATAGCCCTAACATTTAAAGTCTTGGGAAAGATAAATTTAAAGATGAGAAATAGTCACACTCCTAAATAAAACATGCTCAGTATTGTTTTCATGTAATTGTTGATGTTTTACTATTTGATTAAAACTGCTTGGCAACTGATAAATAGAATATTGTACAACTGGCTTAGTATACCGTTAAGGTAATTGGCAAGGTTTTATACCACATGGTTTATCATTTGCTACAGTTGACATCATGAAGGCTAACCATTGCAGAATCATTTTCCTCCAGGTCTCAGTTCAGGCCCTGAGTTTTTCCTGAAAAGCACATCAAAGTCAAGAACAGGTCTTGACCGAAGAAAATGACTGAAATGTTTCAAATTCTTTATATGTTCTATGAAATGTATTTTGTTAAGAAGGAATTGAAATGGACTAGAGGCAAGCGCGCATACTGTTGCAGTTCCGGCACTCAGACGGTAATGGTTTAATTACAGACTTACATAATTAAAACTCAGTATTTGTTATATAGTCAGTTCAGTGTTATAAGTCTTGCTGTCAACTTCAAATCTAGCTATTCTCACGTTGGTTTTAGGTACTGTACCTGAAGTTGGTTTTGGGTGCTGTACTCCCCAGAGTTTTCTTGCAGTATTTGTCCTTTGCAGTGGCGAGCTTTGTATTTCCAAATTATTTTTCACTTTACAATGTGAAGAATGTGTGCAGACAAGCGTGAAAGGAGACCCATGGATGCCTTAATTCTGAAACACATTTAATTCTTTTTAAATTTATTTCAATATGAATCTGTAGAATAAATGTAAATAGTTTTACAGGCATGTAAATAGCCATAGGACTGGAATTTATTTTAGGGGAAATGGAGATCACGAATCAGTCTTAAATACAACACAAACTGGATATTTGAAGTAATACTTTGTTTTGCCGTGTTAACTGTATGTTTTAAGTATTGAATAACAGGAATCCTGAAAGGACATTTATTTAAGTTTTCAAGGGCAAATTCAGTTTAGATGTTTGTTTAATTAAAAACTGCAATACTAATTCACTGACTTAGTTCAATTAAACATAGCATTGCTATTCATTCAAAGTTTTTCAATCTCTTTAGTCACATACAGGCACAAATCTCTTCATTTACAAGCTTCGTTAAGTCTTGCTGTCCATGATGCTGCCCTTACCTTTTTTTTTTTTGCATGCTATTTATGTAAAAACAAAATAAAAATATCTCATGCATAAGCTATGCACACCTCGGTCAAATCATTGAAAATCACTTGTGCTTTATAAGTTGCTGAGACTGGCACCTGCAGTTTTGCACTACAGCCATTTAGAAGGCTAGCAGTGCTAAAACCTACTTAGGGTAGTTTGATAGCTTAAAAACAAAATCTAAAAACATACCTAATTATAGAGTTTATATTGTTGAATCCAGTGAACAGTAGTTGTTAGCATCCAGTGCTACAAATTTGAGCTGAAATGTGGTGGAAAAATTACAGGTTTTGTATTTGTCAGGCAACACAATATATTACGATACTGGAGAGGCAATTGTGGAAAGGCCAATCATATATTAAAAAAAAAGAAAAAAGAATAAGGCAAAGCTGCTCCCTTGAAGCCCACGATTGAAAAAGTCATGTGTCTTCTGATTCCTTTTAGAAATGCTGTGTTCATTTGAGCTTGTTTCATATAAAAAGTTTAATTCCTTTTCTCTGTACAATTGGGTGCTGATGCTTTCATATACAAGGGAATTGAATGGAAAACTGTCATCATGGAGATGGAATATGCTTTGTCTTAAAGTGTTTTAAGATGAGGATGCACATAAAGCACTGTAAGATTAAGGTAGTGATTACAGTTTGTTTTAAGAGGGATGTGGGTTCCTATGCCTTTTCTCTTGTTAATCTAAATGTCTTCTAGGGTGCGAGATTCACAATTAAAATTTCCACAGCATTGCTGGGCTGGGGTTCAGCTGTTACAATGAAAGTGGTTGTCCTTGCGTAGCTCTTGAAGTGGAGTAACAGTGAGCTTTTGGTGTGTAGAATGGTTGAGAGCCACGTAAGATAAGAAGCGATAAGTAAAGTGATCATTGCTACTTTGGGGTTAACTGGTTCTTCTGAAATTTGTCAGTGGTAGGGACATAACAGTCACTGATCATTTGCTGGCAATGCTGTTGTCTATATACTTTATTTGCACTTCATTGTCAGCTGGTCACTTTTATCGTCTTTCTTTAGAAGGTATGTTTTAAGTGGCAGTGGGGAACAGTTCAGTTGACTACAATTTCAGAAATGTGACCCTTGGAAATAACCCACGTTTTAATTACTGAGCACTGGAGTATAGGTGAACAAAACTACAGAAGTGTAAATCAAATATTCTATTTTAGACTACTTTATTTAAATGGCATATTCTAAGTCACTGAGACGGCTTTTTCATGAAAGAATGCCAGCTGATGCTAAAAAAAGCTAAATGGTATGCCTCATGAAGATGCTAAATAGAGATTGATGCTGAATAGCTGGGGAGAGTGAAAAAAAGGATGCTCTTGAAATGAGGAGCCAGGACTTTGATTTGTGCAAGTAGTGATACTAGCAGTTATAGATGAGGAACGGTGAAAGGGCATGTAAGCTACTCCCTGGCAAGATATTTTTCTTAGGTTCTGCTGCATGTTTCACATTGGCTGAAGCACCTGAAACATCTGCAGAGCTTTTTTCCTAGCTGCTGAGAAAATGAGAAAACTTGTGTCTGTTTCCTCTTCTCTCTCACTAATATTTTACCAGTCATAAAAAAAGTACAACCTTACTTCATATCCTGTGCTGTTTTGAAGGATTCTGCAACTATTGTACATTTAAAGCTTTCTTCTTTTTTGTTTATCTGATAATTGCATTAATGGTCTGATATTTGTAAATTTTGTCATAGCAAATTGGGTTGAAAGCTTTTGGTTTACTCTATTCTTATTTTTCAGAAGAAAAAGTTAACTTGGTGATATTTGCATGTGCATATGGACACATATCTGAAAAGTTGTCTCTGTTTTTCATTCTTAACCTCTGGTGTGGATGTGAAAAAGGTCTTCAGTTTTA